TGAGGCAGAAGAACAGCTGGAGCCTGTTCCCAGTGTGCGCATGCGCAGAGTTGCCAGAGGAAGGGAACGGCTGAAAAACAGGGGTCGACTTGGGAGGAAGGCCACAGGTGGACGGTGAATGGCCCCTCCCAGAGGGAATAAAAGAGGAGCGAAAGGCTCCTTCCCAAGTTTTGCAGATAAGGTCTGTGACTGTAAATCCTCTCTCGAAAGACTTGGCTGGAGGTGAATGAGCAGAATTCACAACAAATTAATAAAAGGGGTTTTTTTTTTGTTGCCGGCTATTCATATAATATCCTTTTCTCTCCCTTGGAAAGCATTTCGGACAAAGTGCGCATTCTGGGCAGCCTGACTGGGATCCTGTTCCTCTTTGTGCTGACCGCAATCCTGGTTACGGTGACGATGTCGCCCCAGAGTTTCTTCTCCATCACCATGGCAAGCGTCTGGTTCATTAACTGTGAGTTGGCTCTGGTTAATTCCTCCTTAACCCTGATGAGGTTACCTAGCTTGGTAATGAAACGTCTGCAAGAAAAACCACCAACCACAGAAAACACACTAAGGACCTCCTAATTCCTCTCGGTTTACGTCTCTGACATTTTGAGCATTGTCAGGGAACTCATTTCAAATCCTCATCCCCCCCCCAAAAAAAAACCCCTCTGGTTAAGCTACCTCACAGGGTTGTTGTGAGCTCGAGGACTTGAATCCTGGTCTCTTTACAATCCACTGGACTTCAACTCCCAGAATCCTTAGCCAGCATGCAAGTGTGGGTGGTGGTGGTGGTGGTGTTAGAAGCTGAATCTTGGGGCATTTCCACCCCCCCCCCCAAGCTATGTGGACTTCAACTCCCAGAAATCCCTAGTCAGCCATGTTGGCTGGGGAATTCTGGGAATCGAAGTCCGCATGTCTTAAAAAATGCTGAAATTGAGAAACACGGACTTATAGATCAGCTCAAAAGGAGATTATTATCAGCAATATATTTTCTTTTCATCCAGATTAATGGGAAGTGAGATACAGGTAGTCCTCGACTTTTGACCACAACTGAGTCCAAAACCTCTGTCATTAAGCGAGGCAGTGGTTAAGTGAATTTTGACCCGTTTTCGCAACCTTCCTCGCCGCAGTCGTTAAGTGAATCGCTGCCGTGGTTCAGTTAGGAACCTGGTTGTTAAGTGTATCTGGCTTCCCAGATTCTTTGCTTGTCAAGAAGGTCACAAAAGGGGATCACTGCAACCGTCATAAATACGAATCAGTGGCCAAGCGTCTCAGTTTTGATGGCATGACTGCAGGACACTGCACTGGTTGTAAGTGTGAAACACGGCCAGGAGTTCACTTTTCCCAGTGCCGTTGTTACTTCAAACGGTCACTAAATGAACAGTTGTAAATCGAGGACCAAATGTACGCAAAACAGTCTCATTCTTCACTTTCTCCTCCTTTTGTTTTCCCTCAGCCTTCTGTGCCGTCCTGCAAGGGAGTCTTTTTGGCCTGCTGGGGTCTTTTCCGCAGAAATACAGCACCCTCTTTCTCAGCGGTCAAGGAATGGCGGGAATGTTTGCAGCCATTGCCATGGTGCTTTCCATGGCCAGTGAGTATCGGAGGGGGTGGGTCTGGAAAACACCTCCGCGTTTGAAAGAGCTGGGGAAAATCATTCAAAGGGTAGAGGAGAACGGTCTGCCAATTATGGGGAAAAACTGAAAATATCCCCAGAAATATCCAAATGGAAAGCCCTTTTTTTTTGTCTGCCTGCCACAAGAAGGATCTCCTTTGGCACAGGGGTTTAAGCCGGTTCGGACCAGTTTGGTCAAACCGATTGCTAATTTTATATCTGGTTTGCCAAACGGGTAGTTGCAAAGACTGGCTGCTCCCCCAACCGTCCCACCCCTCCTAGGAGTCTCCAGCGGCTCGTTTTGGATGCCAGGTAAGTACAGAGCCTGCGCGGGAGGCTCTGGGAGAGCGAAAAATGAGCCTCCGGAGCCCGGGGGAGGCTCTTTTCGCCCTCCCGGAGGCTCGAGAAAAACCTCCAGAGTCTGGGGAGGGCGAAAACGCTACCCCCCCCCCTCCAGTGCAGGAGGCCGAGAAGGGCATCCCCCCCCCCATGGCCACACCTCCCAACAACCGGACAGAGAACCGGTTGCTAAAATTTTTGAATCCCACCCGTTTTTAAAGGTTCGACCAGCCAGTTGTTGAGAACATAGTGGTTGTGTCCTGTGCTTGAAGAGTTGTGAAGCCCTGGATTTGTTCTGCCAAAACGCCATTTTTCTCTTCTGCTTAGGTGGTTTGGGTTTCCGGTCGTCCGCCCTCATCTATTTCGTCACCCCCTGTGTTGGGACCTTAGTTTCCATCGCCTGCTTTCTCTTGCTGCCTCACCAGGTAAGAATCCTAGTCCAGCCCCCTGCTTAAGCAGGAGACCCTCCACCATTTCAGACCCATGGTTGTCCAGTTTCTCCTTGAAAACCTCCAGTGATGGAGCACCCACGACTTCTGGGGGCAAGTTGTTCCACTGATTAATTGTCCTCACTGTTAAGAAAGTTCTCCTTAATTCCACGTTGCTTCTCTCTTTCATTAGTTTCCATCTGTTGCTTCTTGTCCCTCCTTCAGGTGCTTTGGAGAATAAGTTGTCCTCCTTTCCTTTGCCCCCCCCCCCCAAATTGGAATATTGTTATAGTAATAGCAGTTAGACTTATATACCGCTTCATAGGGCTTTCAGCCCTCTCTAAGCGGTTTACAGAGTCAGCATATCGCCCCCACATTCTGGGTCCTCATTTCACCCACCTCGGAAGGACGGAAGGCTGAGTCAACCTTGAGCCGGTGAGATTAGAACCGNTCCTTATTTCTATCTCTATCATATCTTATTTCTATATCATCTCTCTATTTCTATCTGTCTATAGCATCTCTTATTTCTATGTTGATCTATCGATCTATTTATCTATCATCTCTCTCTATTTCTATCTCTGTCTATATATCATCTCTTTTATTTCTATATCCACCCACCTATCTATCCCTTGCCTTGAGTTATCTGTTAAAAAACAATAAAGGTAGGATATTACAAAGAATAACTTTTAAAAGAAATCCTTTTTCAAGAAAAAAAACCAGCTATTTGTCTGGAATGATATAAGGTCTCCCGCTTGAGCAGAGGGTTGGACTAGAAGACCTCCAAGGTCCCTTCTAGCCTTGGGATGCTACGAATGGCAAAGGCATCAGCCGTTGGCTTCAGCTGAGGGGCGATACTCGTCTAAATTTCTTTTTCATTCATTTTCTTTTACCTTCCAGATCCAGCTGTGTGAAAGAAGAGGAACCACACTAATTTCTCGTTCACACTTCAGGGAGCTGGTTAATCATGGGTCCCAAGGAAAACCCCCGAGATGTGTAAGTTGCAATGTGTGTGTTTCCTTTAGCATAAGATGCTCTTAATGGCCAGGACACGAACTGCTTGGAATAATCTTAGGAGGCAAGAATCGATTCTACAGGCTCTATTTGAGTTAACTTTCTGGAATCTTGAGCCACATCAGTACCGTGTTTCCCCAAAAATAAGACAGGGTCCTATTTTCTTTTGACCCCCGAAATAAACACTTGGCCTTATTTTCAGGGAGGTCTTATTATTTATGGGGTGAAGGAGTGGGCGAGCGTGGTCACCTCTTGGCTGCTGCTGTGTTGCAATATTTTCGGGGAGGGATTATTATTTTTGGGGTGCAGGAGGGGGCGAGCGTGGTCATCTCTTGGCTGCTGTGTTGCAATATTTTCGGGGAGGTCTTATTTTAGTGCATGCACTCAAAAGCCCAATTGGGCTTATTATACAGGGAGGTCTTATTTTCGGGGAAACAGGATAGCTGTTTGATGGAAAGGAATTTTCACAGCTCCGAGACAATCCTTTGTGTGCTTAAGAGGGAGAGGATGGGCCTCTTGAGCATACGTAGAGTGTTTTTGCAAGCCGGGTGAAGATGGAAAGTCTTAAATCGTCAGATTTTCCTGGCAACGATGGACTTCTTTCCCAGCCCTTTCTCCCTTCCCTATGAAAATTCTGCTAGGACTTTTGCAAACCGCATTTTCAGGTCTGGGAATAAATAAAGGCCACATTTTTTGCCTTCCCGGAAAATGAATCAGGGGAAAAAACTTCAGCTATTTCGAGAACATTTAAAAACATTGGAGGTTTTTTTTTGTAAATAGGCAGCATTTGATCTCAACCAACCCAGGAGTAATATTTGACTTATGATTTTGACTCATGATTTCACATTTCCACTCTGCTAGGCGGGATCATTTGAACAGTTCCCTTATTATGGTATCTTTATTTTATTTTTTATTTTAAACGCTCTGGCTTTTGCGTTAACGGACAACATTTCTGGACTTCCTATGCTGCTATTTGTGTATCCCCTGGAGAATTTCCTTCAATTGTTCCCCAGATGAAATACAAACTCTTTGCTCCAAGTATTAACCCTGAAGCCAAACACTGTCACTTAAAGGTATACTTCACAACACAAACACACACGAAGGTAGTTCTTGATTGACAAGGGTAAATGACATTTGTCGTTAAGTTGGTGCAGTTGATATGCGAGGCATGGGACAACTTTTCTTTTTTTCTTTTTGAAAAGTTTTTTTTTTGTTCTTTATATACAATTATAGGTAAACATTCACATAGTTATTCTTTTTTACAATCGTCGTTCTTATACATTTGTCATTCCATTTACAGGTTTATAAAATACCATTTGATTTGCTTTGTTTACCATCCCTCGCCTGTTTTGACATCACTTTCTTTTCCCTTTCTTTTCTCCCTCCCTTCTCTCCTTTCTTCCTTCCTCTCTCCTTTCCCTTCCATCCTCTCTTCCTCTTCCCCTTCCTACCCTCTCTCCTTCTCCCTTCCATCTTCCTCTCCTCACCTCTTATCTTCCTTCCCTCCTCTGCCTCTCCCCTCATCCTTTCTCTCCCTCCCTCCCGTCTCTATTTTCTTCCTTCCTCTCTCCTTTCCCTTCTTCCCTTTCCTCTTCCCTACTCCTCTCTTCCCCTTCCTACCCTCTCTCCTCTCATTCTTCCTTCCATCTTCCTCTCCTCATCTCTGTCTTCCTTCCCTCCTCTGCCTCATCCTCTCCTCTCTTCCTTTCTTTTTCTATTGTTTGAGGTATCTCTTCCATCTCTTGCTTTTTATTTGCTTGGGGTGGTATTTCCACAAACCCAAAAATAGTTAAATCTAATTTCTTGTTCCCTTTCCTTCTCAAATCCATCCTGATTATGTTTGTGACAACTTTTCTTGTGGTCGTTAAGCAAGACACGTGGCCACGATTTGAGACCCCTGTCTGTCTCTCTCTGTCTCTCTCTCCCCCCCTCTCTCCCTATCAATATTAATTCATTCATCCATCCAACCATCCATCTCTCTATCTATCTCTTAATTTTTTTTGAGGGGGTAAAAATGAATAGAATAGAATTCTTTAAGTGTGATTGGACACACAAGGAATTTGTCTTTGGTGCAGATGCTTTCAGTGTACGTAAAGAAAAATGAAATACATTCGTCAAGAATCATGAGATACAACACTTAGTGATAGTCATAGGGTACTAAATAAGCAATCAAATCATACTAGGAAACAAATAGAACAATATCAAATTGTAAATATACAAGCAACAAGGGCATAGTCATAAGCCGGAGGAGATGGGTACTAGGAAGGATGAGAATAATAACACAGTCATAGTAAATAGTTTGACAGTGGTGAGGAAATTATTTGTTTAGCAGAGTGATGGCATCCAAGGGGGAAACTGTCCTTGTGTCTAGTTGTTTTGGTGTGCAGTGCCCTATAGCGTCATTTTGAGGGTAGGAGTTGAAACAAATTATGTCCAGAATATGAAGGGTCTGTAGATATTTTCACAGCCCTCTTTTTGACTCATGCAAAGGAANGGGTCCTCATTTCACCCACCTCTGAAGGATGGAAGGCCGAGTCAACTTTGAGCCGGTGAGATTTGAACCGCTGAACTGCAGATAACAGTCAGCTGAAGTGGCCTGCAGTGCTGCATTTAACCACTGCGTCACCTCGGCTCGGACTGGACTTCCGATTGGGCTTATTATCCAGGGAGGTCTTATTTTGGGGGGAAACAGGGTAATTTCAGACAGCTTCTGTTTTCACCCCCGTTGACTGCTATTCTTATGAAACAGGTTCAACCCTCGGTAGGTTTGGAAATATCATTGTAATTGGACAAGGCGCTCTATGAATCCGCGCTTGTTCCAAACGGGAAATCAAATTTTAAATTACCCGAGCGGTGGTGGGGAAACAAGCAATCTGAAACTACTAAAATAAAAACCGGAGTGCTTTTAGACGCCTGCAATAAATCTCCCATCTCCGAGGCAAGGAAAACGACATTTTCCTGTGTAATTGTGGAAGGGCCGTAAGCAACTTGAAAATAATGTTACTCTTCCTCTTTTTTTTTATTATTACAGTCGGATAGTTCCGGGGATTATCGGCGCACCTTGCTCAAGATTATTGGTGGGGACGACTGATGAGGCCGACTCTGGCTGACAGCACTTGTTTCCCGCTGCTTTCACCAGTTCATAGAGCTTCTTAGATATATTTAAGCAAGTTTCCAGTCCTCCTTTCAATTATTTTTTAATTAGGTATCATAACAGACAGATGTTTTACTGCAGACACTATCTTAAGCCCCTGGATGACACTGATTTCATCACACACCGTGGATTTGGGATGAAATCTGCACTCACAGGCCAATAATCTGCCAGAAATTAACCAACCCTGGAAATTTGGGATCTGGATGCAGTTAAGATACAACAGTGTCTTGTGCAAGTCCAGCGACTGTCTAGGAACTGCTGTGTCTTGAACTGAGCTATTCTTGAATTGCTGTTGTGTTGTTTTAGCTTTACAAAGGGGTTTCCTGTATTTTGCATGCAACGCATAGCTACCTCAAAGGATTCATTTGTATTCCAGACCTGAAGTGCCTTAAACGGTTGTTTAAGAAATAATTTGGAAAAGTGCCATGGACCACAGGGGAACATGAATCTAGAACCTGCCCACAACTCTTTAAAGCAGCTGCATTGATGCAGCTGCTTTAAAGTTGCAGTCAGGTTCTAGGTTTGTCTTCTTGCAATCTCTGGAAACATCTTTTTCTGGAGTCAATTCTCAAAAGGGACTGGCTAAAATAGCATCAGTGGCCCATTCCTCTTATCTTTATTTAGAGCAGGGGTTTCTAACCATATGGACTTCAACTCCCAAAATTCCTCAGCCAGCATGTCTGACTGAGGAATTCTGGGAGTTGAAGTCCACAAGTCTTAAAAGTTGCTACAGTTGGAGTCCCCAGCCTTAGAGGACTCAAACTTAAACTATTAAAAAAAATTGCCTTTTAAAACAAATAATAAGAAGGGCCAAAACCTTTCCAAAGAGGTTAGAATAGGCATGATATAAGTATTAATATTGACAAAATTTCTGCCATTTTTGCCATGTTGTTTTATTGAAACCATAACGTAAGAAGTTGTGATGATAGCCAACACTTGGAAAAGACACTAACCCATCATACACCTGATATGAACACAAAGCACACGTTCATGGTGAAGATAAGCCATTGATACCCTCATTTTGGCTCTATGGAGGAGCTCCTAGTTTTGGTTTACGGCAGGGATGTCAAACTCGATTTCCTTGAGGGCCGAATCAGGATTNAATTAATTTTGGAGGAACCAGGTTAATCTCCAAAACTGAACCCTTCAACAAGAGAATAACTATGTGCGGAGCGTTGTGCAGGCGCTGTACAATAAGGAGCTTGGGCAGGCAGGTGGGCCCTCCGGAGCACCGTACCGGAACGGAATCCGGTGCTCCGGGCTGGCTCCAGTATGCCTGTACCGGGGTGTACCGCCTGCAACCCACCACTGATAGAGACAAACACATGTACTGGTTTGTATGTATATGTGCACGGATGTATGTATGTATACACACACATATGTATTTTGAGGCAAATGTTGGACATATATTTTTAATTATTTTATTACATATCTCAAAAGCATATCCTCTTCATTTCTAATTCTATAAGTTGATCTTGAAAAAAAATCTTGGCACATCCTACCACTCTGGGGAAAGAATATCGTGGTGTTCATCAAGAAAGGTGTACAGATTAAAACTTTTATTTCCACTTTATAAAACTGTACATATCTGTGTGCCACATGCAATGGAGAAGTTCTGAATTATTAACTTCAAAATCACATTTACCAAACAGGAAATAGTTCTCCTATGACATCACATAGTATATTCTACTGCTTTTATATAATCAAATAGCATTTTATTTGCCAGTTATTCAAATTTTGGGACTTAGGCAATTCCAAGTAGTGGTCTACTTTTCAGTTCAGAAATTTGACAGTATTTTAATACAATCATACAAATTATGAAAACAGGTACTGTGGGCATTTATGGGAGGACTTCTGATATGGCCATTGTTAATTTTTTGCAATAAAGACAGATCTGGAACAGTTAGGACAGTGAAGCCTGTCTGGGCCTAATGTACATCAGGTACACACCTGCATCTAATAAAGGCAGTAAGACAACAATAAAGTTTTGGAAATACAGTTTGCTCCACAAGCATCCAAAAATTATCATGACATGAATATGTAGTATGATGAATCCATGCATATTCACCATTTTCATGCTACCATCTTCTGATTAAAAACGTGATGCTCTGCTTAGTGTTTTTGCAACTTTTCATACCTCGGTTTGCAGTGGAAAATGCGATTCCATTTTTCTGCTGACTATTTCTTTTTGGAGATTATCTGTGTGTACATGCAGATTGAAACCCAAACAGGAAGGGATTGCAACAAGAAATACAAACAAAGGGAGGGGGGAAATCCAATTACTCTTGAAAAAATGTTTTAATTTTATGCTTCAGCAAGTTTCATTTTTTTTCTTCCAAGGCAGACTTCTGTAGCTCAAGTCTACTTAGGCGTCCAAGTAAAAAGATTCCAGTTGTATCTCTCCTCTAGAAGGGTTAAAACTTCAAACGAGTGATCTGATTCAAAGATATAGGACTGATTCATCCACCTTTGAGTTTGAAGATCGCTTCAAATTGTTACAAAGAGATTCAAAGGCAATTTTAAAACTGAGTGGACCTTCTGCACCGTTCTCACAAGTATGGACGGTGGGGGCGAAGAGGAGAATTTGAGCATCGTGACAGGCTGTCTGGTATTGATATGAATGAATTTAACCACTTCCCCAAACTTTGTTTGAGATCATGCTTGGGGTGGGGTGGGGGTGCTGTTCTGCTATTAGTGGCTCTTACTATTCTATTCTAATTTTTTCCCCTGTTAAATCATGTTCAATTCTCAGAACTGCCTAGAATAGTTCCTGCAGGTTTTTTTTTCCTTCCTTCCTTCCTTCCTTCCTTCCTTCCTTCCTTCCTTCCTTCCTTCCTTC